AAAGCATCCATTTCAAATATCACGCACAGATTTATATACAGCATGTAGCAGATATATGAATTATATCATGTGCTACATATTACGACTATGTCTGCATCTGCAATATATTGAAACCCCATTTGAAAGAGCTCATTTGCATTTTGTAGCCTTCTGCATAATCAGTATTGCCAATGGCTAATATTACAATGCTAATAACAAATGATATATTGTGCAGTCCTACCAGGAATATCATGAAATACCAGCAATGGTCTAGGCCGGGGGGCGTCAACTGCTGGACTGAAGTCTGGACGCAGATCCAGCAAAGCATTTCAACAGGCAGAACCAGGTCCTTGAAAAAATACTGCAACGAGGCTAATATACATATGAAAAACAATACCTAACTGTTGTTCAGCAAATCTAGTTTTCTAAACATGAACAAGCACAGTCTCCGCAGCAGATCCTCTGCTGCGATTTACCCAATCACGTGCATTTATGTAAAGTATTAGCTGAAGGAAGCTCACTGGGCCAGAGTCTAGCTACAAGGCTAGAGATATTATTTAGAAAAGGAGGAAAGCATTTTCACAGATTTTCAGAGATTTTTCATCTTATTTCTCCTCACCGGTCTCACAAATTAGCGAACTGACAACATGACTTGTTTTAAAAAAGTCGACGATGAAAAACAGAACGGCCAGAAGTATGTGTTTATTCTCAAATTCAAAACACACGTCTGTTGAATCTGTGTCTGGAGTCAAAAGTGGGAATTTGAGTCATCACTACATAACAAAACATAACCACTTCGACTAGCCGTATCTATAACCATCAACTAATCAAACGGTTAAGCATTAAAGGGTCAATGTAGACGTCATTGTCATGTTAGTTGCTTACCTGAACCTTTGTAAGAAAGAAATTTTAATAGCACCGGACCTTTTTAAACTGAATTTTAGCCGAATACGCCGGGTCTAGGCAACAGGAAAAAGATTAGCTCGTTATCTTTTGTATTAAGACAAAAGGTTATTACATACTCCGGAACTAAAGATTGATGAAGACACTGCAGGCAAAGTGTTTAAACCCATTATACAATCTCAGGATTAACCCAATAAAACAGAAGACAAATACACAAATTTCCAATAGGATGATGGTTGAAAAGGAAACAGTCATGAAACACCAGCAAGACCTGCAAGACCTCAAAACCTCCAGGGCCATTGTCTCTTCCTTTTAGGTGAAAAAAAAAAGGTAACAGTGTCCAACTCGGTCAACTACATGCAACCTAACCCCTTAAAAAAATACTGCTTATGGTTCACATTAGACCTCAAAGACATGTTTCAAATAAACAGATATTTGCAGACGGGCACCCAACAGTTAGTAATTTGAAACTTGCTGCTCGCACACAGATCCCTGGCCAATTCTCTGGAACCAATCACAACTCCCAAAGGGACTCCCCGTTCCCCCTTAATCTCCCGCTTTTATTACTTCCCAGACACAGTCTACCCGTTCCACCCAGCCCCCCATCCGTCTCTTTTGTACTGATCTGCAGCAAAGCCCTGGATTTCTTTTAACCACGGCACGGCGCTTCTTGTGCAGGAGAGCAGCTTTCATCAGCTCCACACACAAAACGTCCCCGGACTGGATTCGGGCCTCATCTATCAGCTTCACACAAGGCATTTCGGATTATTCATCTTCTGCCAAGCCCAGCAAACAAGCGCACATCAGACGTGATATCAAAATGCAACAGCCAAGAAACAAACTGCAGGGTTTTTCTCCTCATGTGATTCACGTTTTAAACAGAATTAGACGAAACAGGGTTTTCGTGCTCAGGCATTAATCAGATGTTGTAGGAACAACTCCTAGCCACAGAATTCCTCAGGCTAAACATGTGTTCTGTGTTTATCAAGGAGAGTTTTGTCATTCATAAGCAATCATCTCAAGAATTTCAACCAAATAAATAGAAATAGAGAGACATTTTATCATGCATATATCTCATGATTCATTGTTCTCTGAACAATCCACTGAAGTAACATGTTCTCGTATGCCTTATACATACACCAACCCAAGAGTGTGCTTTTATAAAGGAAGAACATTAACATATTAGACAATGTGCCATAATATTAACAAGAGCTGCAGTGCTGCTTCACAGTTAAGCAGAAAGACTTTCAGAGTAATTTAATAACAACATTTAATATTTTCTTTCCTCTATAAAGCAAAACTGACCTCTCTACTTTCCTATTAATGTGACAGAAAGATATGTATAGAAAAATAAATGAGTATATCCATTAGAATATCTAGGGAGAGTTTATTTCCAAGCACTTAATGCTTATTAGTGAAGTAGAATTTAGTGTGATTTAGTTATTTTACTGATACAATTGGATGCGAATTAGTGAATGTAATGTAACATTAGATTAGTTAAGTGTGCATATGCATTGGTGCAAAACAGCACAGCAGATAAGATGCACCTAACTGTAGTTCTTTGTCAATGTGCAAAAGGAAAAAAAAAGCACATTGCAACTTTAACACTGCACATGAAGATGTTAAGCACCTCTAGATGTTAAAGGCTAGCAGGAGTGACTGCAGCTGAAATGAAATCAGAGCAGTGTTCAGCTTTTAGCAAGAGAGCCACATTCCAGGACCCTGTGCACTTACACCAATATATACACAACAAAATAATCAGGAGGAAAAAAAAATTTGCAAATGCACGCATTTTCCACGCACTTACCTTTCTGAGCGCGTGCAGGCGCGAGCGAGCACGCAGAGGTGAGGCAGAGGAGAGAGAGGAGCACGCGCGCTCCCCGCTCCGCCATCACTTTCAGCTCAAACAAAAATGTTTGTTTCGTTTCCAACAAACAACACACACACACACACACACACACACACACACAAAACAGTAAAGCTGCCCAGAGTCCGTGCTGAAATCCGGCCCCGACCCTCTCCCTCACACTTTCCCCAACACACACTTCACCCTGCGCGCCTCCGACACCATCCGCGAGCCGGTCACTTCGGAAAAGTCGCCCCGAGAAACATGGAGCTGGTGGCCGAAGCGAAAACTTGGCGAGGCGGAAAAAAAATCACATCAATCCATACCGGCGGCGGAGCGCTTCACTGCACCGAGCCGCGGGGACGAAACACGAAGCTCAGCCACACCACGAAGTACAGGATCCGAAAAGAAAGACGATCGGAAAGTGTGTGTATGTGTGTGTTTGCTTTTTTTTTCTTCCCCGAGAGCAATCTGAGCAAAATGCCCCGGCTGAGTAGAGCGCAACAGCGGCGTGGAAAGGGCAGAATTCAGCTCGGATTCCCGGAAAACATGCACTGGACTTTTACACCCGGAACATGGATTCACATAGAGAGCTACAAACTGTGGAAATAGCACCACCTACACTACATGACCAAAAGTCTGTGGACACCTGGCCATCACACCCATGTGTAGGTCTTCCCCAAACTGTTCTCACACAATTGTATAGAAAGTCTTTGTATACTGTAGCATTACAATTTCCCTTCACTGGAACCCAAACCTGATCCAGCATGACAATGCCCCTGTGCACAAAGAGAGCTCCATGTGGACATGGTTTGCCAAGGTTGGAGTGGAAGAACTCGAGTGTCCTGCACAGAGCCCTGACCTCAGCCCCACTGATCACCTTTGGGATGAACTGGAACACCGACTGAACCCCCAGACCTCCTCACCCAACATCAGTGCCTGACCTCAGTAATGTTCTTGTGGCTGAATGAACACAAATCCTCAAAGCTGAGCTCCAAAATCTAATAGAAAGCCTTCCCAGAAGAGTGGAGCTTATTATAACAGCAAAGGGGGCCTAAATCTGGAATGGGATGTTAAACAAGCACATATGGGTGTGATGATCAGGTGTCCACAAACTTTTGGCCATATAATGTACATAACATCATCTAGCTCACATCACACTACTGAATAAAATATACTATGTACTGCTACATTTGTGGTGCCTTGTAAGTGGTAATGTGCACGTTGTAATGTTTCTGATTACCTTCTCAAAACAGAGATTAATATAATCATTGTTATAGATTTAACTTGGAACTTAGATTTAACTTAGTGTTGGAAGTTTGCCTCACACCACCAGGGTTGGGGGTTCGATTCCCATCTCCGCCCTCTGTGCGTGGAGCCTGCATGTTCTCCCTGTGCTTTGGGGGTTTCCTACAGGTACTCAGGTTTCCTCCCCCAGTCCAAAGACATGCGTTGTAGGCTGATTGGCATCTCTAAATTGTGTGCGACTGTACCCTGCAATGGGTTGGCACCCCCTCCAGGATGTCCCTTGCCTTGTGCCCTGAGTCCCCTGGGATAGGCTCCAGGCTCCCCCATGATGGATGGACTGTATCTGTATATTAACTGATCTAAAGCCAATACTGCTACTGCTAATTTATACTTTAACAGTTAGATCCAGTCCACTAATCTGATTGGTTGACGTGCTATAAAGTGAGTGTGGCTTCTTCTGGATCTATTTCGGCTAGTTAAAAATACACCGAACATTTGGCCACTCGATATTAATTTCTCGTTTATGGAACTGTTGTACAAAAGCGATATCATACTCACAATCATGTGGTTATACTGAATATTGGCATAAACAGTTATGATAAACAGTCGTTCCCTCACCCACCTCTCATTCTCTCTCTCTCTCTCTCTCTCTCTCTCTCTCTCTCTCTCTCTCTTTCTGTCTCTGTATCTCTGTGTTAAAAAAAATTCAGCTTGTCATAAACTCCTCTGTCCTGAAGACTTTCCTGTGCTGTGAAACTTTAAAATCACAATGACTGTTTCAAAGCACTGACACCTGAGACTTCTTCCAAAAATGTTAATATCCTTACAAAAACCTTATCAATGATACAACATCAATGTTGTTGTTCTTTCGGCTGCTCCCGTTAGGGGTTGCCACAGCGGATCATTGGTCCGCATGTTTGATTTGGCACAGTTTTGATGTCAGATGCCCTTCCTGACGCAACCCTTCCCAATTTTATCCGGGCTTGAGACTGGCACTGGGAGTGCACTGTCTTGTGCGGGTTGGTTCCCTGGCCAGGAATCGAACCCAGGCTGTGCGGTGAGAGCGCCGAGGCCTAACCACTAGTCCTCCAGGGAATCAATGATACACCATCAATGATTATATGTTTTTCCTTATTAAATAACATGTTTTTTAATCTCTGTATTATTAGTCTTAGATTATGTGGACGGTCCACTGTACAAGTCCATGTGTTTGAGCTATTACTATAGAAACAGTTATGTATTACAACAAGCACGTTAATATAAACCTATCATTCATGTTACAGCCAGAGCGACTGTCTGAGCTGTGGTTATACCAAAATGATACACACCTACTGACCAATTAGATTCAGAATTCTTGAAACTGATTAGTCAGAAGGTGTTGATTAATTTTCACTAACAGCAGCTTTGAAAATAGTTCAAATGTGTTGATAGTTAACAAAGAAAAATGTATAATCATTGATATGGTGGGGAGATTTTATGAATTTATTCAACATTTATGAAAGTAGTCTTCACTGCCAGTGCTTTGTAATGGTTAGTAAGTTTTCCACCATGGAAAAATCTCTAGGACAGAGGAGTTTTCCAATTTCTCAGTTACATGACGAGCTAACTTCAGCTGTTTATAGCTGCTATAACATAAGTGATAACAGGAACTAACTCGTATCTAGAATATTCCACAACATTAAATGTGAAGCTTAAAATGTATGACATTTTATTCATTAATAAATTATAAACTGTAATTGTTGACAAATTGCTTTGGTATGAGATGAATAAAACATGTTAAGACACCCTGTTGTGCTATTATAGGAAAATAATCAACTTCAGGGTGAATGTTTTATTCCTTACATGTAGCTGCCAAGCAACTGTCCTAAACATATAAAAAGCAATCAAAGAAAAAACATCAGCCAAAGAAATATCAGAATGTCAAATGGAGTTACCTTCAGATTTCGCAGTTCCCTGTTAATGTCCGCAGAGGTGTGATATCTGACTATTAAATTTACTGTTCACCAAATTCCATTTTCCACACTCATCCAACAGATGTGAAGCAGGAGTTTACTATGGCCTCATAGACAATGCCTGAAGCTAAATTTATGCTGCAGATTGGTACTACTGCCAAATAACTAGGGGTTAAATTGGGTGAGGGGCTGAGCTGCCCAGCCACTGATTTATGTGAATAGCAAACCATAATTTGATGGAGATGTAAATCATAGCATAATTGTGATAATAATAATGGTGTAATACAGTTTCACATTGCTGAAATGCCCTCATTTCCAAGGCAGGATCATACCATGACAGCTAATAAATATTCTTTTAGGATCATTCATTTTACATGGATCTGTTTTGGGATTTTAGTGTCAGTAGGAATATTTATTAACCAGTTTATATATACTATATGGCCAAACGTTTGTGGACACCTGACCATCTCACCTATTCAGTCAGGTCCATAAGTATTTGGACAGTGAGACAATTTTTACTATTTTGCCTCTGTACACCACCACAATGGATTTGAAATGAAGCAACAAGATCTGATTGAAGTGTAGACTTTCAGCTTTAATTTAAGGGGTTTAACAAAAATATTGAATTAACCGTTTAGCAATTACAGCCATTTTTTACAGAGTCCCTCCATTTTCACAGGCTCAAAAGTAATTGGACAATTGACTGATAAGCAGCTTCACGGCCAGGTGTGGCCTGTTTCCTTGTTATTTCATGACAAATTAAGGAGATAAAAGGTGTGGAGTTGATTCCAGGTGTTGAATTTGCATTTGGTAGCTGGTCATGGGAACTCTCAACATGCGGTCCAAAGAGGTGTCGATGCAAATGAAGAAGGCCATCATGAGGCTGAAAAAAACAAAACAGACCTATCAGAGAGAGAGCAGGAGAGATAAAGGAAACTTTAGGAGTGGCCAAATCAACAATTTGGTACAATCTTAAAAAGAGGGAATGCATTGGCGAGCTCAGCAACACCAAAAGGCCTGGAAGACCATGGAAGACAACTAAATCGGATGATTGCATTCTTGCCTTGGTGAAGAAAAACCCCTTCACAACATCTAGCCAAGTCAAGAACACTCTGGAGGAGATATCATTGTCAAGAGACAATATCATTGTCATATCATTGTCAAGAGGCTCCTTCATGAATGTAAATACAGAGGGGTTACTTCAAGATGCAAACCACTGGTAACACTAAAGAACAGAAAGGACAGATTAGACTTGCTATTAAAAAAAAACCTCTAAAAAAAGCCTAACCAGTTCTGAAGCAAGATTAACTTGTACCAGAATGATGGGAAGAGAAGAGTATGGAGAAGGAAAGGAAGGGCTCATGATCCAAAGTATACCACATCATCTGTCAAACATGGTGGAGACAGTGTTATGGCATGGGCATGTATGGCTGCCAGTGGAACTGGGTCACCAGTGTTTATTGATGATGTGACTGCTGATAAAAGTAGCTGGATTAATTCTGAAGTGTATAGAGCTATACTTTCTGCTCAGATTCAGTCAAATGCTGCAAAACTGATAGGACGCCGCTTCACAGTACAGATGAATAATGGCCCAAAACATACCACGAAAGCAACCCAAGAGCTTCTTAAGGGAAAGAAATGGAACGTTCTTAAATGGACGGGTCAGTCACCTGACCTCAACCCAACTGAGCATGCTGTTTACTTACTGAAGACAAAACTGAAGGCAGAAAGACCCACAAACAAGCAGCAATTGAAGGCAGCTGCAGTAAAGGCCTGACAAAGCATCTCAAGGGATGAAACTCAGCATTTGGTGATGTCCATGGGTTCCAGATTTCAGGCAGTCATTGATTGCAAAGGATTTGCATCCAAGTGTTAAAAATAATCCTAATATTTACTATGTTAGTTTATCCAATTACTTTTGAGCCTGTGAAAATGGAGGGACTCTGTAAAAAAAAATGGCTGTACTTCCTAAATGGTTAAAGCAATATTTTTGTTAAACCCCTTGAATTAAAGCTGAAAGTCTACACATCTTGATTGCTTGGTATACAGAGGCAAAATTATGAAAATGGTGTCACTGTCCATATACTTATGGACCTGACTGTATGTGCTTGTTGAACGTCCAGTTCCGGATTTAGTTCTTCCTTTGCTGTTATAATCTGCTCATTCAGCCACAAGATCATTAGAGAGGTCAGGCACTGGGGTTGGGTGAGGAGGCCTGGGGTGCAGTTGATGTTCCAGTTCATCCCAAAGGTGTTCAGTGGGGTTGAGGTCAGGGCTCTGTGCAGGACACATGAGTTCTTGCACATCAAGTTTGGCCATCATGGACCTCATTTTATACACAGGGCCATTGTCATGCTGGAACAGATTTGGGCCGCTTAGTTCCAGTGAAGGGAAATCTACAGCATACAAAGGCGTTCTAGAAAATTGTGCGCTTCGAAGTTTGTGCCACCCACATATGTGTGTGATGGTCAGGTGTCCACAAACTTTTGGCCATTTAGTGTATCAGAACTAAGGCACCAGCACTGGCATAACGTTGTATACAAAGGCCAAAATAGCCACCCAAAAAAACACATTTGGGCCAGCATCATTTTGCTACCTCAGATGGTTTTGTTTTTGTGTTCACCCTGAGAGAATAGCTGCAGCAAAATCTATTGAGCTAAATAAATGCTGTTAGCAATTTGCTACCTTAATTCCTTAATTCACTTCCTTTATGTTCACACAAAAAACTATGTATTCCTATACACAGTTTTAACACTACTGATGGAAGTACCTCAACCTCAAAACAAACCTAAATATATGAAGGAAAGAAGTTAGCAAGGACTACTAACTAGTCATTAATGAGCCATAATATTACAGAAGATGCTATGTTATGGTTCAGTGATCCCAATAATGGTCCTGGAATACACTATAAACAGCCCATTTTACAGTGTTTCTCTGCGCTAACACACTTCATTCATCTCATTATCAAATTAAAAAGCCTTTCCAGAGGTAAAATGGGTGTACTGGGAATAAGATAAACACTATAATGTTCAGGGGAGCGGTATGGAGTAGAAATCACTGTATTAGCACACATTGGTGTTCTTCATTAATTCGTGTCTCATTCACTGATTACAGCTACGCCGCATTAAGAATAAACAGCAGGTTGTTGATAAAATGCAGTTGTTTTTAATGTCATTAGCCTACTTACAAGTGCTGTTTGATTTGCTATGTTTTCTGTGCATTTAATTTAGTCATTTGTGAGCTTATTCTTAGCTTTCAGATTTAAGACATGGCCAGCTACCTTACAGAAACAGACAGAAAATCAATTTTTTATTTAAAATCTATATCAACATGTCCTCCAAATTTGCTCACTTTGAAAGGATGATTTGTCAGCCTTGTTGTAGAATAGTCACCATTTAAGAACGCCATCTGCTGGTAAAGTGGAGCTTTTAGTTGATCTTAGTGCCAAGCTATTTATCTACAGTATTATGGTACGCAATTTAAACATTAGTTATAGTAGTTATCAACTATTAATTCTTTTAAGTCAAAGCATGTTACCAAAGACACAATTTTAGATCTTTAAATGTGGTTATGTGTCATATCATTAGTCAGTTTGTGTATTTAGAAATTCATTCAGTGGAAAAGTGTCCCAGTAGTCTTAGCACTTACCTAAAAGGATTAAAGGAAACCTCTACCCTCCACTAAGGAAACACATTAAATATGTTTATATTGAAATATTTGTGATATGCTTAGCAGTTCTGGTGCTAATTTGTTGGTTGGTGTTGTATTTTCATTATTCACTTAAGAAGTTAGAGGTTGCGTGCCATGCAGATGTCACAAGAGGACATTGCAAGCACAGTTACAATGGTATCTAATAGTTAATAACATCATATAACAACAAGGTATAATGATCATGTTTCACTGTTCAGCTCCTAAAAACAAAAGAGCAAGAGCTTGTTTTCTGACTCACTATTTTCCAGTGATGTTCAATGTCATATTAGTGAGACATTGTGGAGGTGTCAATGCAAATGATGGACTCAAAGCTCCAGAATGCAATGCAGCTATACAACATAGTTGCACTGAGTTATGGCAGAGACTCGGCTCGGCTAGTTAGAGATCTATGAGATGGCAGGTGCGTTGGCATTGACAGTGATATTAGCTGAA